CAGTTTTTCTCTGTATATGGGATCATCTTGTCATATGTTGTTTCTTTCTTAGCTGTCATGCTTCCGGATTTCATGCAAGCACCTGAGCTACTTAGGGAACTTTAATTTCCAAGAGCTGGGCAGCCTGCCTACCTTTTCACACACTTAATAAAGTCAGACAGAAAGAATTACAGACTTAAAAGGGGAAAGGGAAAAAAATGCTTATGGAAAAAGTAACATAAGGTTGTTATTCTAAAGAGGGTTCACATTTGTTTTCAATATGAAACTTGAATATAGCATGGAAAATTGAAATAGATTTTTTCAGGGCTGGACTAACACAAAAAATAATAGAAAATGTGATTCAGGATTTTAGGGAATACCTGGCATACAGCAATATAAATATGAATAATTTCTAAGCAATTAGTTCTCTCTACTTGGTTGAATTTTCTTGGGGTAAAATAATTGTATTTGCCTTGTTTATCCATTTGCCTCTTTTTTTTAAATTAATTATAGGTGGAGTTTTTTCATCCCCATATAAGAGGTAATGCCACCTCTATTTTATAAACTGCCAGGTTTTAAATGTTAGCCAGAGAGCTGGAGTAATCAGTAATGTCTGGAGATAAATGGAATGTATGACTTCTTTAGCTTAGGAAAAATAGAACTCTGTGAAATGAGTCTTACAAAGAATTTGGAATTTTATTTATTTCCACTTAGATTTGCATGAGTAAAGTACAATAGCACACAGATTTAGCTATATGACAGATGCAAAGTAGAAGCCAACAATCCCTCTCAGAAATTATATGACAACTTTCACTAGTTCAGTACTTAAGTACTTCATTACTTTTGCTTTCTCCTGTACTTCTTGCCCTCTCTGGTGTACTGCACACTAAAATGGTTAATCCCTTGTTCGACTGCACACTAAAATGGTTAATCCCTTGTTCGTTAGCTTGATGCTGCATCCCTGCAATTTGCAAACTCCCCCTGTCCTCAAAATTTGGCATTTGGTCCTCAAGACTTCCTTGGAAATGCTTCAATTATTTTCAATACCTGTGATGAATAATATAAGAAATGTCTAAGTCTCAAATGACATAACTGAGAAATTAGACATAAAGATTAGGATTATTTTAGCAATCATTATGACTACACATCAACCCAGACGTCTTATGTCTGAGGAAGCCAACTCCAAATATCAGAAAACAAGTAGAAACAGACTGTTTAGCTGCATGTCAAAAACTAAAAATTAGCTTTTAACATCTTGTTTTCTTTTATTCTCAAAAAGACTGGTTCTACTTAAATTAAGCTTCACACAATTTTCTAGTGACGTAAATTTGGGCTTTTTTAGATGTTCTTGATATTGAGTATGAAGAAGATACATTCAGTTCTAGTGAAAAGACAAGACTTCAGCACAGAAGGAATTGCTCCTGTTGCTACTGGAAACTCAGTTCTTGCTCAAAAGACTTTCATATCTGGATCTGTGGTAGAGAAAACAAGTCTTTATGATATACACAGACACATATATATACATATATGCATACATATATATATATCTAAACTTCTCATGAAATATCAAAGATGAAGCATCAAAACACTGTCACTGAACTGATGCACAGAATATAACCATTTCAGGACTCTTACCAATTTTCAAAACTGTTTGGAAAGGCTGTTCCTCTACATTCTCAGTAATTTGGTTACTTGTGGAACTTAAAACCAATAGAATAAAGGTCTACAGGCTGAGAAAATGAACAGTATTTCTGATTAAATATTCTTTCAGCAAGATCATTAAATCTTGTCCACTTTTTTCAACCTTTATTTTTTTTTATCTGCCAGAAAAAATTCACAACCAAACATTCTGGAATTGGCTGCCTGGGGAGATGGTGGAGTCACCATCCCTGGATGTGTTTCAGAAAAGACTGGATATGGCACTCAGTGCCATGGTTTAGTTGAGGTGTTAGGGCACAGGTTGGACTTGATGATCTTTAAGGTCTCTTCTAAGCAAGTCATTCCGTGTGTGAAACAAATCTTTTTTCTTCAAATGTTAACTTTTTTTCCTTAAGTAACTTCACTGTAATGACACCATGAAGCTAGAGATAAAAATCCATAGTAAGTCTCCATTAATAGGTAAAATTTAAAATACTCAATACCATCAATAATAATGAAGGAAAGACCAGATAATTTTATACTTGAGCCTGTCAGAGCAAGATTTCTCCCTATAACAAAGCAGAACTGGAAATATGCTTGTAAAATCATTAACAAAATCATGACAGCTTAAGCAAAATCATGACAGATTACTAAGCCACTTTTACTAAATATTTTAAATTTATCCACTTTTTCTGTTTCTGGATTAGCTAATAGAGTACCACAAATCTATTTCCTACTTAAACATTCTGATATTCAATTATGAGTGTAACAGTTTGTCTGCAAGCAATTTATATAATCGCTTTTGAATAGATGCTTTTTTGTTTAAATATTTTCATTTGTATATCTACTGTCTGGATTTCTCTGTCCCTTTCTCATCACAAAAAGTATATATATATTTGTTATCTTTAGTCCTCTATGTATGGTTTTTGCCTGGTTGATAGTCACCATTTCTCCCACTCTTTCATCAGGCACAGGTGGTTTTAATATATTAGCCATACATTATGTTGGAGAACTAACCCAAACTTGCAGACTTAATAACATTTCCACCTCTCTCTACATATATAAAAGAATCAGAGAGAGTGTATTCTTGTTGAAAGATTGTTGAAAAAATACTTGCTTAGAGACAGATAGAAATTACTAGCAGAAATATGTCTCTTATCAAGTACATATGATCAGGATGGCATCACTTCAGGGATCTTTGCAGCACTGTCTATTATGCTGCATAGGAATAATCATCCAAGTAGGCATTGTCCTGTGATAGGAACATGGAGCGCATAGGAATAATCATCCAAGGAATAATCATCCATAGGAATAATCATCCAAGTAGGCATTGTCCTGTGATAGGAACATGGAGAACTTCTTTAGATCTTGTAATGAACAGCAATATTGAGTTTATTGTTACCTACCTGCTCTATTTTAGCAGCTTATATGAAACTTGTTTGACTTTTCATAGGGGTGAATTCCTTGTTAATCAATTTGGCAGGATTTATCTTTAAATCAGTGGTGGTCAATGAGAAATAAAACTTGATCCAGTGACATTAAAGTAGATTGTAACCTTTTCTTTATATGTAGTAGACACAGTTAACCATATTTTGCCCTGAACATAATTTTGTTCACATTCACAAGAGCTTAAAATTATGATATATTATTTTCTTTAAGTAGGCAATTCTTAAAACTAAACAAAAATAACATTTATGTCATTTCTTTCAGACTGAATTTAAACTTCAATCAGGTATTTCCGTCAATATTTCTCTTTCAAGAGGAAAGTTGGTTGGAAGCTTTGGGACAATGACAGGTCCTTGAGAGTAAGCCAGTGAGTTATGGTGACAAGAAACATTCTTAAGTGCTTTAATAGCAGATCATCCAAGAGGAAAAAAGATTAGGGCAATAATCTCTAGTGGGTACTTCAATTCACATCTGGCCTACTCAATGCTAGTAAAGGTAGGTTATCATTGTTTAGAAGGCTGGCCAAACCCTCTCCAAACAACTGAAGTACTATTAGTGGGACATGATGGTATGAGTCAGAAATGATGTGCTCTTTAAAGAGGTTAAACCTTTACTTCTTTTTGTGTTTTTTTAAATCTTTTCTTTTTAAACTATTTTAAAGGCAGATGACATAGTTATTGCGCCACTATTGCAATGAGAGAAGGCAGCTGAAAAATGTTGCAAAAAGATTGCAAAGCTGCAGTTTGAAGCATAATCTCAAACATTTAGACACTTAAATAAATAAAATATCCAGCTGTATGTCAGCAGTTTAAAGCCTTGGCAGAAGAAAAATGAAATGGTCAGCTGAGGAGATGTGTTACATCTCCTATTAGTTACATAAATCTTTGTATTGCATCCCTCCCTACATCTGGCTAAATATGAATGCTCCTCCTTTATTTCAGTTCTGCACTGCTATTTAGCATGGATTTTGGTCCCTGTGCGCAAGACCCAAAGGACCATTGCACCAAGAGTGAGATTAAGCAAACAAGAGCAAAGATTTCCCTAATTGCTTAGTATGATTGTTGCAAACTGTTTTCTAAACACATTGAAGAAGGATGCAGTAGTAGCATGTTGTTCTGATGGCATATTGACTATTCAAATTAGGCTTTTCCAAAAATTATAGCTCTTTCTTAACATCAGTACCACCTTACAGAGGTGACATTAATATGGTATATTTAGATTACAACACTGACAGCTCAATAAATTTCCCTCCAAACTATACACAAAACAGAACAGAACTCACCCATGACTGCAGTGCAGATATAATGCCTACAATCATGGTCTCGGAAGAACAAGTGCTACTGACTGATCTGCCAAAGAACTGATTGGTAGCCTGTCACATTTGGTCTAGACTAGTCACAACAGAGTTAAATATAATTGGTTGGTTACACATATAAATTATAAAATAAATTGTCAAAATAAATCAAAGGCTACTAAAGTTATCTGTTTCACAGTGGTTTTGTTCCGTAGCTGCAACATAGATCTCCACAAACAATTAAAGGAAACTCCAGGAAGCCTGTGCACTGATCCCTTAAGCAAAGCAGTTTCAGGAAACAGAATCTAGCACAAAAATTTTCCTATGAGTCTCTGCCCCTTCAAAGGATGCCACCACTGAATGCATGCCAAGTTGTTAGTGAAACTGTTGTGTAGGAGACTCAGTGTACACTGGAAACTTGCGAATTATTGTCAGCCAATCTGGTTCTGGTTGGGCTTTTGTCCAGAAAGGATATCTGGTTTGATTCCCTCTATCAGAACACAATAGACTAGAAAATAGTTTATGGAAAGTCAGCGTAATTGGGTGTTTCAACTTAAAATTCACAGCTGTGCACGTCTTATGCGTGAATAGAAAATCCTATGTGTGTAAAAACTTTGGACCAGAGTTTTCAGGAGTATGTTACCTTATCATTTCTTCAGTGGATGACAATGTAGAATGTCTTTGGAAGACAGAGATGATCTAGGTGGTGCTTTCCAAATCTTCCATTTTCAGTTAAAAACTTAAAATCAAAACACTTCGGTAAATCCTGTTCTCTTACCTAAATAACAAAAAAAAAATGAGCTGGCATTGCCTTTTTAGCTGAAAACTTGGGAGTTTTGGATATTTGGTTCCAAAGATTCTCTTTGAACTGGATGAATATATCCTGTAGAAAATGTTAGCATTTCTCAGAACAGTTAAGAAAGCCAATTACAAACTCAGTTTCATATACTAAAATAGTTCTGGCAGTTAATTTCAAACACACCAGAAGGACTGTAGCTCTCTAATGAAACTGTATTTATTCTTGTGGATTCTGCAAACTGGACTGAGTTGCTAAGAAGGCTGTGGAGATGCAGAGTAATCTTCAAGTACAGACTCTTAAATATGTTAAAAAATAAAATTGTTACATATTAAAGCTATATATGTTAGGAATTTAGAGCATATGCACTGTTAGGAAGAAAAGAAAAAAAATACTGTGGGTTTTTCCATATTTTTTACTTTTGGAACAAATATACTTCCAATGTACTGCAATCATCATCTTCACCTCTGACCTTCAAGATGTAATTCCTCATACAGCAGCTCTAAACCCATCGCTCTGACAGCTGAGATGCTGAGCTGTAACTAACAGCATTTAGAGCTGTAAGTAACAGCATTTAGAGCTGTTCTCAGTCTCCCTACATGCTGCTGGTCTATAGACTAGCAAAGCATTTTTGCATACATTTCCCTCTTCCTGCTAGTCCTATTTACTCTGCTAGGTTCTAGCTGTATCTGCATTTATGTAAATGCCACTCCTAAGATACCAGTACACACAGCAAGACTTTCCCTGGAAAAGGCTTAAAGTGCTGGAGAAATTCCATCTTTCAGGCCTGAATCCAGTGTCCCTGTGACTGGCAGCACCCTACAAGGGTCAAAAGTATGCTGATCTGTTCTAGAAATCAAAGCCTTAAAGTATATTTATAAGAAAATGCAAATATTTTTGACAGATAAATCTGTGGAAATGCACTACCATTCCAGACAGCCACGGCATGGAGATTCTGTCCAAGCCATCATTTCATAGATGTGCATTATAAGTTTTTGCTCCGTATCCTATATAGTAGCTATGAAATGCAGCTCCTGCTTTGAACTTAGACAAAAGCAACCTGGAGAACATTAATAATGTGTAACACATGTTAACTCCTACATCCAATATATTTTTTCTGGACTGGAGTGTGGGACTATTATCTTTCTCCCCTCCACGTCTTTTTTTCTGAACTGCCTTGTTGCAGCATTCATAGGAAATCAGTTAATGAGTGGGTATCTTTATTAAAAAAATTACTGTATGGGGCAATATTCAAGTTAATAACAACTATATTTCTGTAGATACACTCTATTCTGAAACAAACAAACGTGTTAAATAATGAACTCCAAAAGGGCAATTAGTCTAAAAAATATATTTTCTATATTACTTCCTTGTGAAATCTTATTTTTAATGAATAAATGACCAAAGTAAACACATTTTTGTCTGTATGTCTATAAACATATGTATTTTTATATATCTGTCTGTCAAAGTTCTCATACGTGTTCCTTGCTGTATAGTAGATGCAATAAAATCCCACCTCTCCCTGAAGAGAGAATTGAATGCATGGCAAGTGCGTAGAGAGTGGCAGTGTTTTATGGAACCTGGCAAATGTAGGTGTAATAACAATAGATGTGCCAACAGCCATAAGTCAACATCCAAAGTTTTTTGGCCAGACATTAAATCTTTTATAAGCTGGAGATAGTTATTACTCTTTAAAAAGGCACCTCAGGGACTGTGAACAGATGTATTGTATTTATACGTTTATTTACTTTGAGTTATAGATATGAATGACATTATTTGTAAATTAATCAATAGTAAAAAAAGATATATTAAATATTGAAAAGGAGACAGAAAAGACAGAGAAAATATCTTCACATGAAATGATCTTCCTATGAAATAAAATACTTACAGCTGTTTTTATTCACATCATATCTCCACTCCCTCTTCCACAATAGTCTGTAGAGCTAGTGACATCATTGTCTTATTACAGGCACTGATTCTGGGCTGAAGTTTGTCATCCTGTCAACAGCAAGTGTGACCATTTGTGTGGCAAGGACATGTTAGGACACCTGGGACACATTTGTATATACAGCCTTTTCCTGCCGGCTGCCTGCAGGCTGCCTAAACTTAATCCCACCCACATTCCACTCTAAAGACCACAGTGGGAGAAGGACAAGAGAAAGAAGAGGAAGGATAATGGGGGTGGGGATAAGAGGGAAAATTGTTGATAAGAGATTACAATGACTGGAATGTATAAATTGAATGTGGGGGACAGGAGAAACTGAGTTAAGACGATGTATGGGACAATACTGATTTTATCTATGATTGACTATGTTATTTTATATTTTAATAAAAGTATTATAAAATATTATATATTCTTTATCTCTATGTTGCTGTATTTTTGTAAATACATACATATATGTGTATACATTTACATAGAGCAGAAAAGAGATTAAATTGTTTCCAGAATACGCCATGTATAAATGTACTTGCAACTCTATGAATTGTGTTCAAATGCTTGGGGAAAGTAAGGATAGTAACCAACATTCCTTGTTTTTAATAATTTGTACATATGCACCATATATTTCTCTCCTTGTTCATATGGAAAAGATGTAACATAATATTTGACTTTCAGATTTCAAGAACTGTCAGAAGGTTAGACTGATCTCTTTTTAAAAACATCTCCAGCAGTGCTGTCCCTTCAAAACCACACTGCAATATCAGCTTCAGGATTCATGATACAAATACAACCTTACTAATTCTTTCAGATTCATAGTCTTCTTAAAAGTTGCTCAGTTCAAACTGACCCTTTATCTGTGAATTCTAGCACAACTAATGCTGTGTGTTAGAGTGGGATATCACAAATCAGTCTCCGTCAATCTACCCTGGTAGTAAAGAGGGCAGAAAAGGAAACAAAGACCTTGGATAAGAGTGGGACAAGATTTGGAATAAATAATGCATTGATTTTTAGACATGGAGAACATTAGTGCAAAATGTGCAGTAATTTATTTTTTATTTATGCGTAAGTCATTCATGTAAAATCCACACCCTGTGGAGTAACTGTAGGTGCCTAATTGACTGCCTGTAAGCAAACCATTACAACTCTATTACTCCATCAGCTGCAGGGAGGACACAGTGGGGAAAAAAAACAACTTCTAAGTAAAGTTTTCACACCCCTGCCTTGTGGTGAACTCCTCAGCTGGTTTTCACATTCTAAATCCAGAGCATGTTTCTTCTCACAAACTCCCTATCTATGTAGTGCTGGTATACACAGCATGCTCTGCTATGGCAATTGTGCCAGATAATTAGAAACAAATTTAGCCCTGGTGTAAGCATGAACACAGTTTCCAACTAAACCACTGCCTTTATTAAGAAAAATGTCGCAGTAAGAAAGAAGTTGTATGACACTTGTATAAGTGTGAATGTGTCATCATATAGCATCAACAGATCTCCAACTCCTCTTGTTTATCTTTTTCTCTCTCTAGACGTAACCTAATAGTGATGACTGAAACAGAAGGTGGAAAAATCTGAAAAGAAATAGGGTGGGAGTGATTAACTATAGTATTTAAAGGTATATTTTTCTTGGCAATCAATATTTCTGGACAAAACATCATATGCATACTATTTTTTTTTTAGAAATATGGGAACAAAATCAAAGCTAAAATCCTCTTAGAAGAGTCACTATATTCCTTTACATCAAAATTTGGACTGCTTCCTTCAGTTTTCCTCAGCTTAGCTACAGTTTCCTATCTTCAAGTTACAGAAATGCATATATGTAGTATAAGAGAAAACAAAATATGGTTCACTCCCATCTTCTAATCTTATGGATCTCTAAAAATATCTCTAAATAAGACTCAATATAAAGATTGCTGATAGTCTGTGCAGGAAGTGCAGTGCCCTGTATGGAATGTCCCCCTGTGACCCAAGCAGTATTCCAGAGACCCAAAAGATCACAGTGGAGATGCTCAGGAAATGCAGTGACAGCTGACTTTTCTGAAAACTTTTTGAAACTTCCTTCTACTGTTTGGATAAGATATACGAAGAAAAGGCCAGTTGGAACTCAAAAATGCAAAAATAAAAGTGAGTATGAATATGTATTTATTCACATGCATATAAATTTCTCTCTATATATAATTTTTTACCAGTTAAAAACTGTCTTTAAAACTCCAGGAAAATTTGGGACTGGCTTCACTTCAAGATTGAGGTAGTTTAAACAAGTTCTTTTTTCATCAAAAGGAGTCCATCTACACCACTGTCTCTGTAGATTAATAGATTATTGTCTACAAGCTACAAATTTGATCAGACGTCAATAGAGGCATGAAAAAGAACCTCACCAAAAATGGGGTCAGAGTTGATCCTTGGGTTTATTATGTGTCTAAAACAAGGAAAAAGGAGAAGAGATCTGATGGTGATCAGACTTCTATTTTCTTCATGCATCTGCATAGTTAGTATTAAACACTATTATGATGGAGGCAGAAAGTCACAACTACTGCTTGTGGGAACTCATTTAACAGGGATAGCTCAATTGCTAGCAATCACATATTCTTGCCCCTTTTGTCTCAACATCTGCTGTATTCTGTCTGCTGGACACCATGCTTATGAACTGAGAGGATTGAGGTCTTTGAGATCTGCACTCTTGAGAGTTCTGCATGACAAACCACTCGAGGCACTCTAATTGCACGTAATGAAATTGCATGTCTTCAGCTTAGTCTTAAGAAGTGTGTAAAGAAAAAAATAAAATAAGAAAAGGGAAAAGGAAAAAAATGGCTGAGATTTTATATGTTGAATGAGGAGGTTCAGTTTTTTGGGAAGCAATTAGACTGAGGCAGTGGAGAGACTAAGTTGTTTCTTTTGCTGGTAAGAAGGTTTGCAAGTACATCTGCATCTTTTTTACTACCTCAGTATCCATCTATTTAGCCTTTAAGAATCTACCCTTTGTACTTACGGCCTTTAAAAAAGTTTTAAGATTCATAAGAACCTCTTTAAGACCATTCTTAAGCCATGGGGAAAGACAGACATATTTCTATACTTTTTCCATACACTCTTTTTTTCTCTTAAGGGCTTTCTTCTTGTCAATATATTTTTGTGAGATAGCTCAAAAAATAAAATTATACCATTTACCCATTTAGACAGTGACAAACATTAAGAGAATGATGTACAACATCTGAAAGAAAAACAAACAACAGAAAACCAAGCCACAAACAAAGCAAAGAAGCAAACAAGGAAATCACAAGTAAGTTGTACAGAAACATCTCAAAATTGAATAGGCAGAGCTTTTGGAACTCAGGGATTAAAAAATTATGGGTTTTTTTCCCTTAAATTTTCTGTACATCTTGGTATTTGGGGTAAAATCTAATCTTATTTAAAACTTTGATCATTTTCCAGAAGACAGAGAAAAAATAATTTTCTCAAATCAGACCTTTTATTGTTTCTCTTCTATACCACATTGTTACACAATGCTAGTTACATGCTCAAAAAGTAAAATTACCAAAACTCATACAGAGATAATGTCCAAACAATCCAAGGTAAAATCCAAAACAGCACATAAGCACTTACCATACACTCAAACTGTTATTTAAACATAGGGTGTTCTAAAAAACTCTATGTACTCACATGTTTAAGGCATCTAAGTTTTCTAACTTGGTGTGTCTCTGCACACATCAAATATGTCACCTTCTCAGCTGAATGAAGTGCACATCCTCCCCACCTAGTCCATCTGGGATGCAAAGCAGTGTGTCGTGCTCAATTTGCCAAGTGGCCCGGCTCCGTAGGTGTGCTCCGAGCTCACTTCACGCACGGTGACAGCAGCAGTGGCAGCACATTGCAGAGCTCCCACAGCCACTTCCATTCAAAAATAGGTCAGGAGAAGGCGGAAAGTACTTGCATAGCAAGACTGTTATGCAAAACCTCTTTAGTAATATCACCTCCTCCTCCTCCTCCTCCCTCTTCTCGCTGGCTATCTTCTGAAAGGGAAGCGGGAGAGAGCTGTCTGCTGACACCTCATATGACTTGCATCTAGAACCACAGGCAAAGCATTTGCAAATCCTAGTTCCACAGAACCTAATTTGGACTATGGATAAATGCCTAAATTCAGAAGAAACAAAATTTTAAATGCTTCCCTCCCTGACATTTTCAAATGTGTAGATTAGATATCCACCATCAAATGTATTGGCTGATATGAATTATGTTTGAGGATTGTAATGGAAAGTTTAGATGTCCAATGTTGCAGTATGAATTTCACTCCTCAGGCTTACATCTAATTTTGAGGCACTGAGTCACTGAGCAGTCCTCCAGTACTTTCTTAAGATTTGAACCCTTAACCACATTTTTGAAAGTTCGAGATAAAGTGTATTGCTCTATGGATCAGGGTGTGCATGGTGCCTTTCTCTTCTGAATATCTAAAAAAAGGAAGTTAGATCTTAGTGTTGTAAAATGGTCACCAAATAATTTGAAAAATGTAGAAACTGCTTTTTCAGAGCCTTTTCAAAGAACCCCTGGTCAGAAATTAAAGGATATCAGCAGTCCTAGAAAGAGCTCTATTTAGCAGTGTAAATGTAGAAATAAAGGATCAGACCTCTTCTAAACTCAGTGAGAGCTCTCTTCCTCTATCAGCTTCATCAGGAACAGAAAAGTCAAAGCAGAAATAGTCTGTTTTGTTCATTTCATTCACAAAGATGACCATGAGCTTGACATCTCTGATAAAGATTTCTGTTTTGCAAAGCTACCAGCAAATGAAGTACAGTATGAAGTGATAAGACAAACCAACAGTCATTTAATTTGCACAGATAGTTCAGGAAGTAACAGTTACATATAACAAGAAAAAATAAAATCTGTAATTAATACAATTTTCTTTACATCTAACTCGATGTCTGCTTTCTTTCACTTCCTTATAACCCTACAGGCTTGCACTCATATTGCAATTTTTATTGTAGTCTAACTTGGACTACTGTCACAGTCATGATGATGTCCAAATCTGTGCTCTTTGAAAACTGTTTTTGAAATGCAGGCAGTTACAGTATTGTGACATTTTTTGAATGGGTTGGATTAATTTAATTTCATCCATGAAATTTAGATTCTCCCAACTTTCTGTCTCAGATTTCCCTGTGAATTATCTATCAACAAGTATCAAGCCAGAATTACTGGGCTATGAAGACATGAGTTCTAATCTACACCACTCATCCTATGCAACTCCCTTTCAAAATAGTATGTGCTATTTTCCCATTTTAAGCCCTCTTCATAAATAAGATATTCTCATCTTATGAATCAAAGTTCTTGATAAAGGGTGATTCACAGCACCTATGTGTCAGTCTTGGTGCCCTGTGTTAAGGGTGCTGGAACAGTGAGGTGGGACAATTACTCATATAGTCATGAGTGAGTTAGAAGTTAAATCCAACACAAAATTTCCTTTTATGACCCTCAGACTAAACTTTCCTGCTCTTAAGGCTGCCCTGCATTTCCAAGATCTAGTCTTGTAATATTCAAGGGACAGACTTAACAACTTCATTTTTAATGAACAGCCAATGTGGTCAGTAGGTATTAACTTGTACAAAAATATTTGCCAATGTCCATGCTAAAGATACAAAAAGCTTACTGATTTGTGGGTTGGGTTTGTTGGATTCTTTTTACTGCTATATCCCCAAAGACATTGAGCAGAGCTCCCTGGAGTCTTTTTTAAAGTATTTGGTGTGGGTAAATGCATATCATGTAAGTGCTGATAAACGAGGCCAGGTATATTTTAATAACCTTCAACGTGGAAGGTATTTGTGTACCACTCTTACACACAGTCAGTCACTGTGTATTTTGGCAAAGCAAGATCCGTTTCTGAGGAAAGAGAACTATTTCCATCCTTAATAAGTCATTCCAAGTTTCCTGTGATGTTATAAATAATCGGGCAAGCAGCCGGTTTTATTCTCCCTAATTTGATATGGCAGACTTGGAGAGCAGAAAAGTTCAGCCTCAACATAAGCTCTAGAGTTGGACTTTGACCAAAATTCCCCCCTTCCCTCCCATAATGAGATAAAGTTTATCATAAAACATGCTTAGCAAGGCAGCTAAGACAAGGCTCAGGCTTCACATCTATTTCCTAGGAGCCCCTAGTCAGTCCTGCGTGCTGCATGCATGAGGTCACAGCCTGCTGGGCTTGCTTTGGGGAGCTGGCAGCTAGGCTGACAGTCTTAGCTAATACACTTGTCATTTGGGAAAATAAAAAAGTGCTTGCAAAACACAGCTTAAATTAGATTGTGAGTAACTGGAAAAGGAAATATAAAGTCACACTGTTTTATATGTGTGTCGGGAAGGCAGTGAGGTGATGCATTGAGTACCTGGGTTATTGGCAAAGGTCAAGCACCCTCATGACAGATATCTTTTAAAAATTTTGAGGAGATACAACAATCGTCACAGAACTTTCAAGAGCTGCACAATACAGAGACATGAGAACATAGCAGAGTTTATTTTTATGTGTAAAAGGAGGTCAGTTGAAAGGACGTCTTCCTTCATAATTATAAAAATGACAAGAGGAATTTATGATTATGTTAGAACCTAAGTTTTTTTTTAAATCTGCCTCTGCAAATGATGTTTGGCAATAATTTGGGAAAGTCATTCAAGCTGTTTCTAATTGTCATTCAATTGCAAAAGAAGTTAAATAAATAACTCTATCTACATCTCAGAAATTCAGAAAGATTAATTAGATAATGTTATTGAAATTGCTTATAGGCACTCAGTAATAATAATGCACGCCAAAGCACTTCATTGATGTTCATTACTTTTAAATATGATGGAAAAGGATTTTTTTTAATTTGGTTTTTTTTTAAAGCTTCAGGTCATATTTACAGATCAACTTAATTTCCAAAATGCAATCCAGATGTATTGTCATGGATTTTAAAATAAAATTATAGCTTTAAGGTAAAACATGCTAATAGGAAAATTAGCTTGTTCTGATGAGTCATAACATAAAGTAATTTCCCTTTCAAAACAAAGCTAAAACCTTACTTTGGTCCCTTAACCCAGATGGTATTCCTCCAGAATAGGTAACTTGGATTCAGTTTGGATATTTTATGCTTCCTAAGACACTCTGCATTCTTAAAAAAAAATACTATGTAGGAATTAAGGACATTTTTCTAAAGAGATCTACTCCCAGTTGTAAATCCTCTATTAGAAAATTAAGAAACTGTTAGTTGAGTTACACTTCCCTATCGTTTATATGACTTCTTAAGAAAGAGTACCCAAATATATAATCTGCTCTCTCTTTCCTCTCTCTGGCTTTCTATTCTGCAAAATCAAAAGAAGTCTCTCAAAGACTGAAAAGGTCTTCCTAGATAGTGATGTAATTTTCTCAAATAGAATCAACACTGGAAAGACACAGAGAGTCTGAACAATTTGTTTGGATAGTGAGGCAACCCTGTTGCCCAGCTGCCAACTGGAGCAGAACACTTTGTGCTTCTGCAGCAGGTCTGAGCAACACAACCTGGCTGCTTTCTGGAATGTGTAGACCTGAATCTGATTTCAACAAAGGTTGCTTCACACCACTCAGGTGGTGGAAATGAGTCTTAAACTGAGTATAAATCATATTTATACCTACTACAAGGCTTCTTTATATGGCTAAGTCAGTGGAAAGTTGCTTTGGTGTAAATGCACTTTAGGCCCTCTTACTTTTAATTTGGCATAAAAAAGGAAAGAAAAGAGAAAGAAAACCCTTTCAATGTCCCAAGTTAAGGCTGGATAACAGCCATACTGTAACATAAGCTAAGATTCAAAGGTGTCTCAGGAAACAGGTCTCCAGCTACCATTCACTTTTCAAGGGGGCTGAGTGACTCACTTCCTGAGACCTGTTTGAAACCCTATCCAGAATGATTATTCTGTCTGCATACAGCTAGATTGTTTTCTAATGACTGACTAGTCTGACAGACCCACTACCACAAAGATTCTGCTTTGGGTCAAGCAATAGAGCTCTTTGTTATCAGCATTGGAAGACTTTACCTAGCAGTACATGTGTTCAAGTTATAGCTGACAAAGATATTGGTTTTGCTTATGGCGTCACTGTAGTGCCACCTCAGAGGAGCTGATCAGAATAAGGTTTGGCCTATGCGCAAATACTTAAATGGCAGGTTCCCAAACAAAACACCAGGTGTTAGTCATCCTGCAGGTCTCATTACTCCCTTTGAGTCAACAGTGAACCATTGCCCCAAAATTTCAAAACCAGCCTGCACCAGAATTACTTTGTGACCAACTGTTGACTATAAGGTCAAGTATTTTTGGTCCAGATTTGCCATTGTTATTTTCCTGAAATGCCAGCATTGCTCACAAAAGTCGGATCCCATTCTGTTAAAGTCTATGACCATGTTTCCATTCTGAGTAAATAGACTGAGGAGTCAGAAGACAGCTCAAAAAGAAAATCACAACAAAGACATAGTGTTGCTAGTTGTTAATTAAGAATCAAGTACAACATCAGCTAAAGTAACTTCAGGAAGCTGTTTTATTTCCCTCTACAGTCAGTGGACAGAGACAGGTACTTGAAGAACACGATCCCTCTCCTCCCTAATATTATAGAAACAGAAGAGATTACTCATCCCTGGAAGTGAAATTTTTCTGTCCTTTGAAAAAAAGAGATGTCTTTAACAATGAATTTATGTTAACTCCAGTCTCTGGCCTTAGAGCTTTTAAGTGGAATATCATCAAATATTTGCATAATCCTAACACTGAGAAAATAATTTAGCAGCTGATATTATGGTCCATACCTTTAAGACTATTATTAATTTATCCCCCAGTCAACACATTGTGAAATTCATATGTAGAGAGACGCAGGCACGTACACACACATGCATACATGTTGTA